TCAATTTATCTTCGAAAAATTTACTACATTGACGATACAATATTTTTAATAGGATAAAAAAATTGTGAGAACTTGGAGAAAAACTGCACCTTTCGGATGTCAACAATGCTTCATGGATTATAATTTTAGGATATTGTATATTTTTATGATACATATTAGTTAAACTTTTGACTACTAATTTAACTTTTGCAGAAACTTTCCTTCTCAAAGCAGCATTGAATGCCGAAGTAACGATATGTCCCGTTACACTGTCGCATCCTCGGATTACGCAGGATGTACATCGAGGAGCGCGTTTACGCTATGCGAGAGCCATCCGTACGGCGACCGGAAGTAGGCGTAATAACGAACTCGGCCCGTACGTGTCGCACGAATACAATAACTCGTGTCCGTACAAAGACCGTTTTCTCTCCGTAACGGCAGACACGCACGTATTCCGAAGGAGCTTCTTCTTTGGTTCATTTTTTTAGGATTTTTAAGAGCTCGACCGGAAAACCGACGCATACCAGGTCACTTGAGCGATTTAGAAAGGAGCAACGAACTGCGTGCGCTTTTTCTAGAATAATAATTACGCGTTGATCACGCTGCTTGACGAGTACATTGAGTCCAGTTTCGAACATTCTCTCGAGACGAGAATAAAAATATAGAATTAAGATATTCTACTACGAACGCATACGTGTGTTATTCTTGTATCTTATATAATTTTATCTTCTTACCATTATTTTACTTCATTTCTAACTACCTTTAACCAATTTTATGCTTTCAAGCACATTTGCTTAAAATATACTATTTTTCTTAATGTAGACATTTAAGTTTTGTGGAACGTAAAAATTCTCACGTTTTAATTACTTATGATTTGTATGATGAATTTCGAACTGAAGCCTGGAAGAAAAGTAACCATGGATGTTTTCTATTTCACACGTGGCAGGTGGAGGAACGCGGTGGGTATCGTGGGAGCCGATGGAAACTGTCTTAAAAAGTACCGTAAAAGTAGCATGTGTTCCGCATATGTTCCTTACGCGAGCGTAATTGCAAAAACCGTCATCGTACCAGATGCGCGTGAAAACCACCATTGTTTTTATTTTCTTCGCGAAAGTTATTTTCCAACGAGTCTGCCGCCTCCGCGGCAGATCGTATTTCCACCTCGAAACGCGCTTTTGAACTAGTTATTTACGGTTTTTTTTTTTTTCGAGAAAAAAAAACGCAAGATCAAAGACGTCAGACGTCTTCGCTCCTCGTCGCCGGTCGCGCGATCGGCGCGTAAAAAGCGGAGATCGGAAGTTCGCGGAAGAGCGAAACGTTCGTTGACTTCGGCGGGATCTCGCGTCACGACGCCTTCATTAAGGCGCGAGCTCGCGAATAAATTCAACGTACGATCGTCGCCCGGAGGAGGCCGCGATCCGGCTCGTCGATGCATACGTATATCGTCGACCCACGCTGCCCGTACAAGAACTGCCCACGCGATATCTATCGTCCAAGGTATCGATGAGCAATTACAGATTGGGAGACCGACCTTGGTCCGGTCGGCTGTTCGATCATCGGTCGATCGAAGACTGCCTTTCGGCAATTTTGCGAGAAGTCTCATTATAAATGATGACTTAGAAATTGAAGAAAAAAAAAATCTACGTGCGAGATTTATTTATTCGTAAATTTTAACAAATTAATCGCAGAAGCAGCACTTATCGTATACTTAATTGAGAAGCGATTCCGGTGGGCAAAAAATTTGTTTCAAGATAATCGCGAATCGCACTTCGTTAAAAATTCATCGCTTGGCGGCAAAATCACCTAGAAATGATTTTCCCACGAGCCGAAGACAATGCGAAATCGAGGTCATTCGCTAGGCTGCGTAGGAATAGCGGCGAATAAGATCAGTGAGGTTAATCAGATCGGAAAGAAAACGATAAGGTCACCCATTCCGCCGTTAACCCGCGCCATTCTCACAAACGATCGCCACGATTGCAGCACAATTGACGACATTATTATCATACATCCATATGCATCGTCTTTTCCGGACAATAATCGAACCGTCATGCGCGAAGGAGGGGGTAAAGTATTATTTTAAACTCCATGTGTGCGTTTTAGGAAAGCTTCCTTTTAACTCTCGTCCGGCGGATGCCGGTTTTGTCTGGTATCTATCCCTATCTTCCATCACGATCGTTTTGTTTACACACGGCATCGCTAGTGGTTTATATTTCCGGTTAAACATTTTCCGTCCGGACATTCGTGTCCATTAAAAGTTCTGAATTATTAAAGCAGCCCGTCGATCGATTACAAAATTTATTAATAAATTGAAAGCAAAAAGTAAATTGGACATAAGAGATATAGAATGTAGAATTTTATCTTACTTTCCGTCCGTTTTTGCCTCTTGGCTTTTTCGAGTGTAAAAGCGAAATTCTATTACGAGTCCGAGCGGATCCGGTGTCTCTCCGCCGTGCGGTTGGCGGCCCGGCGATTCGCAAGAATTAATGAAATATATGCTAATCGAGGGTCTGGCTGGTAAAGCGAACTACTAGTTAGTAAGTCTAATCGAGGGAAATTCATTCTTATGAAAACACCCGCGGTTGACAGACTTTCAATATTGACACCGCGTTTCTCGTATTACCAAACATTTAAGAAAATATGTAAAAATGTAACAGCCCGTTTTATCGTTAAAAGCCACTCTCCTTTATTAAGCAGGCGCGCGCGCTTTTCCTTTTTTTATCTTATTAAGCACTTTACTGCATGAAAATATCGCGTGTCAATGCGCAATGCCAATATTTAATTGATAGCAACGATAAACTCTCTATTTACATTTCGACAGCTCTTTCATTCTCTCCTTAAACTATTCAAAACTATTACACTCGATAATGTTCACGGCGTTTTCCATTCATGAATTATAGTCGGTTACTTTACAATCCCTTCAGCGTCCTTCCGCTTTCCACTCTCGAGTAGCTCAAACGGAAATCGCCCTTTCATTAGAGAACAAAATCTCGCCCGGATTAGAATCGGGTCGGCCTGCCCGAAAACGGCGCAACGCAAAGGTTCTCGGAATCGCGAAGGCGCCGAAGAGCGGCGAGAGAGCGCTCGCGATCGACGGCGCGACGTTGAAAGTTCAGGTGTGAGGCGTCTCTTCTAACGAGATCTTGATGAGAGACCGCGAATAGCGCGACGGGGGATCACGTCCGTGATCTCGCAGCATGCGTGATTGAGCAATGATAAAGATTTTCGACCACGCAATAACGTCCTACACGGCATCGATGCGTCGTGAAGCGCTTAATTCTATTACGATGATCCGCTAATGACATGTGGGCGGCATAGAAACGGCAATATAATACGTTGAAACGAGAACAATCGACGTCACATCCTGATGGAAAAGTAGAAAGGAGAGGATATCGGTATTTACAGAGGATGTCGAGTTTTTCTAAATCTCGGATGGCAATCGATTGTCCTTTTTCGAAGATGTTCGATAAGATACATCGGAAGTTAAGTATGTATTCAAGATGGAAAAAATAAATGAAATTCTGTAACTTGGAATCTCATCGCGCTAAGCAATATCCCGCATCTTGATTTTTGATAATTATAGCCTCACATTTTCTAGCCGTAAGATACGTTGAAAAGTTTTAATTTCTAAAATCAAGTTTTTATCACTTTGTTAATAACACTTCCAAATCGGCAATCAACAACCGACGTAATTGAAAATTCATATAATTTGTGGAATCTTATCGCGGTCAGCATATGCAATATCTCGCATTCAGATTTTATGTAATTACAGCCTTACGCGTTTCCTAGCCATAAAGTTGTATTAAAATAAAATTAAAACATCTAATTCCTAGAATCCCGTTTCTCAGCTCGCTTTTTCGCTTTGCTAACAGTTCCGGATCGGTGATTAGCATTCAATATATTTAGAATTTTATCTTCACAAGTCGATGGTTTCTCCGCGCGCGGGTTTACCATACCGAAACGGCGCGCGAATTAGAAAATGGAAAATTATCGCGAGCGCACGGTGCAGCGGTCGTTACGTGGCGGAGTTGCGTGAAAAGCAGCACGCGATGATCCCATGGCCGAGCACGTAATTCCGCCCGTAATCGCACGTGAGGAAATTCTCCACCTTCCTGATTATCAATTGCCGAGATTAATTATACGGAGACTCCACGCCGGGAAGTCGCATGTGACTTATTCGTCATCATCGGTATTGTCGGTATGCGCCGACCTTGTCGTCGACTCGATTACGTCTCGCGCTGTATTAATGACTGTAAATCATTACGTCGCTGTGTTATGCATGCAAGAGAGGGGGGCACTCGCTCCATTCGTTTTAATTATGCCAGCGCGACCCAATTACGTCGCGCTTAATTGCAGTGATTACGTTCGACCGATATCATGTGCATGCTAACTACATTTTTCAGGCGGTCTCGTATTTTTTCAACAATTTATCGAGTGGCGACTTTTCCTGTAGTTATTTCGTTTTTTTTTTTAATTTTATTGTTGCCAATATTGTTTATTCGTGTAATTGTTTATCGCAATTATCGCGCTATCTCGCGCTTTTCTATTGACGTAATTTTGCACTAAATGACGAAACTAACAAATCATCGCAAATGGATGCTTTCCGGTGTTTGTTTTGCGCGACAATTACGGCTTGAGAAACTCGCCTTTGCTTCGCAAGTTACAACCCTGGATACGGTACTCATTATCGCGGTATTCTCTAATCCAGCTAGTTTTTATGAGGTAACTATCATTTAGTCTTTGCCGGCCGCGTTGCCGTAAGAGTGCAATTAAGTGTATTAAGTGTAATCGGCGTCAAAATGCTTCAAACACTTTTTGTGTCAGATTTATTCTTGTAAATTGATTAAATAGAAAATAATAATAGTGATTTAACGTCTCGACATAATACATGCTGTTTCTCATTATTATATCAGCGCTGAATATTTTTGCTCGCCAATGTGCGACTCGATTGACATTCCGACACCGATTAACCTACAAATTACAAGATCGAAATGTTAAGATTTTTTCCTGAAATAATTACTCACGTTTTCGGGCTGGGACGAGCGCCTCTGCCGCGGCACACAGAAGAGCGGCACGCCGCTTTCCCGCTTCCTCTCCAATATAGCGGCTTCCTGTTCCCCTTTGGATCACCAAACCGTAACTCCGGCTCACTGACGCCGCACGACGCCGTCCGCTGTGGCTCCTCTTCTTTATCTCCCTCGTCGTCTCACAAATCACCAACAAGAAGCGTGCATCAGCGACCACTAAACACTTTTCTCGATCCACGCTCGATCTAACTTCTCGTCGCGTGCCGGTACGAAATACTCTCACTTGATTGTTTCGATTCACCGCCACTTGCCTCGGACGAACGCTCGATTATATGAATGTACACGCGTATATGTTCACGTTTCAACTGTTTTCGCGAAAGCAGCTTTCGTGTAAACAGCTCCGCGATTCCGAGACGCCGCTCCGATCGAATCGATCTCACTCGCGTAGAAATCTAACGCCGACGATCACGCTCGGACATTATTCTTCGTAACGGTACAACGCAGCTTTGTTTAATGTTGCCACGTTGAGGAACATCGGAGCACTTCGGAAATGTATCTCCGGCAAGTTGGTATCGCACTGAAGTCAACAGCGCGCGTCGCCGCACTTTTACGGCACAAAGCGTCAAATCGTACGTGACCGACGCTTCGTTTCGCTTTCGTTCTTTTCCTTTCGCACGTGCAACCGATTTCCGCAATCTCGTATATGCGTTCTCCACCTGTCGATCGTGTGCGTCGACTGTCGTCGATATCGATCGCGCGAGGAAAAAAGTATCTCGCAACTCTTGAGAAACGTAAAACACGAGTGTCGATAATCTACGACATCGACTACTTGCGCTCCGCGAACTGACTGGACTCACTTCAGGCGGACCGGTCGTCACCGATTGCCCCCCCACTCCGTCCCTTCTCGTTGCTCGTCCCACCACCACATTGCGCGCTTCGGAGAACGCGTGTCTATGGTAGTAAACTCCGTTGTCGGAGCATTCTGATTTTTCAGGATGTGAGATGCGAGCGAACGGAACATAAACATTGCTCTAACAGCGAGCCTGTTATTCCAATCTCGATATTTCACACTTAAAAAAAAAATGAGACAAGCATATGAATAACATTGTAAACCTTTATACACTTTACGTTCCGTGTTGAGCGACCTATTTTCCTCGTAGGTCGTTGCCGTGCGTTTTTGGGAATTGTGTATCTTTTTTTCGGTCATGGCTGGATGCGGGCGTATACGTTGCTTCCCTGAAAATCAGTGTTGGGCATCTCCGCGTAAATAATAGTCCGCCTCTAACGCGGAGATTTTGTAAACTATCTTTTTATGTGTATTTATGTGAGTACCTGAATAATCTTTCATCGGAACAAATAAATGTACTATGCTGTATTAATTCTTCTCAAAAGATCCATATATATTTTTTTAAACATACTGAAACTAATAATTAACTCTCCTCCTTTATTAAACATTTTTACCAGCGTTTCTGTGTACCTAGAATAAAGATTTATTTATTAGAATGACATTTTAATCAAATACGTACATTTACATTTTCTGTGGAAATGGAAAATTAAACCTATTAAAATATTTGTATTTCTTTGTATGAAAAATATTCATAATAGTATTAATCAAGGAACGTTCTCTCAACATTGAATATTTTAAAAATATATAAACAGGCTCACAAGTAACATTTAACAATTATAAAGTCAAAGGAAGAAATCTCTGCGACGCAGACAACATGGCTTATAATTTAAACTGATTTAATACACAAGTTTCTTTGAATATAAAAAAAAAGTATTACGCACAGTATTTGTGAGAATTATATTACTAACAAGAAAAGAATCTTATTAATAATTTTAAGCCACTGTTTCAAGCTAGAGATTACACAGAAAGTTAGAAAAAAACGCAGTGACTCACCTTTTTAATTATAATTTTATTATAGTCTGATGCAGAAAAAATGTAGCTCTCTCTCAAATAAATATATTTATATTAAAATGTAGCGCAAATATGTATATCTTTTCTTTGTATACTGTACACATTGAACCTATTTAAAAAGAAAAAAAAAAAATTATTAAGATCATGAAATTTAACTGTGATATCTGCAGAGATACAGGATTTCAAAAAGGAAAGTAGGTTAAGTAAAAATGGACTGATTACCGGGGTCGCCGGAGTATACGGCATCTGCCCGAAACCGCGCGTGTGGCGCGCACCAGGTCTGGTCAAGATCAGATGAGATCTCCCGCGTGGATGATACATCGCCTATCCCGCACCGCCCCTGTCCTACATGTCACGCATCTACCCACGCTAATTAGTCCATTATCACCGTGGCCGTCACTACCGGCAACTCATCGCTCGCGTTTACCGTTTTCTCGCGCGGCGCTCGGTAGATGTAACTTTAATAACAGTGTATTAAAGGCGTGACCGCGTACTTTTTTTCGGAGTGCGTGTGAACGCCAACGATGCGTATTAAATTGCGAGCAGAAACGCGTCCGGGAGTATGCAACTTCGCCGTCTCTCTTTGGCGATTGTGCAGCATCTGCCAGTAGGACATGCGATATGACGGACAAAGGCTCAGAGTTAAAAGGATGAAACGATAAGATAACTGAAATCAAATACAAGATAAAGTAAAATCAAGTCATATCAACAGTGGGGAAACTTTCAATGAAATAAAATTGAGTTACCTGTCGATCTGACTTCAATATTTCATGTAAAACAATCATTTATTGGCGTCTGTCTTAAATTTATCCTCGTTTTATGCATCTAGCGTCTGTTAGTCTTTGTCCTTCATCTCGTGAGACGCTATCGTGGTACGAGAGAGGGTCCTTCCGTGCATGTCGCGGTGACACGACCCGGCGCACCCATCGCCATCACGTGGCGCGGACCATCGACGCGTGCCGGGTGCGTTTAATTTCGCTAAAACCCAGCGCGAATAATAAACTGACGACGGTGGCGACGGTCTAGACGCAAGGTCCACCACCGATCGGTTAGGGGAGAGTATTACGCTATTTGCCGCGCGCTCGTGTGGGCGTCCGTCGTGTGGGAGTGCCGCCGGACATGACGAGAGACATCGGAGGACGGGCACGTCACGCATGTTTGTCTGTGTGTGTGTGTGGTGGGTCGTGGTTTCCTCCCTGGAATTGAAACATGGAATTCAGGAATCGG